TAAGGTTTTACGACGCTCGCAACTGCATAAGTTCATATGAGCACCAAGGGGTGGATGTCAACAGAGAAGTCCAAATGGGGAATCAGGCTTACTCTGCTCACCTCTCTAGCCTCAACAGCACAAAGTCTGCTTCGACCGCCAAGGCACCCCGGAAACAGCAGTTCACAAGAGAGTGACAAACATACTGTCATACAAAAGAAGTAGAGGAAAATGACGATAGTAAGGATGAGGAAAGAAAAAGCAGCAGTTCACCCTGTGTTGTTCCGGCACAGTATGAGCATGACATTGATGAATCAGCCAATTTACAATTCTACGGTGCATGAACGAGAAATGTCCCCCCTTTGGGAATGGCCTAAAGACACTTCAGTCAGTGGCAAGGCTGAGAGGGATACAGCATCCCAGCCGAAAGACCAAGAAACTCAATACACATTTCTCGCACCCTCAAGAATCGAACTTGGGTCTCCTGCATGTGATAGCAAAAGACCTAACCGCTAAACCACAAGACGCCAGTCCACGAAATCAGGAGTCATGAGTAGGAACTAAAATTTTACACTAGACAAAAGAGTTACTCAGGTCACACTAATTCCGACTCAGTGCTGAGAAAGGGACAAAATGGCTACAACAAATGGAGTCATGACACAAGTTTTTTATTTTCATCATCAAACGTTTAATAATTTAAACTGCAAAGTCACGACATAAATAACAATATTCACTGCGTTCTCATTTCTCTTGATCGCCAGAACATCATAGGAGGGGATGCTATTCATTTTTGTACATTGCATACAAATTGATGTATATATTTCTAAAAAACAACCCCCCCCCCCAAAAAAAAACAACAACACAAAAACCCCCCCAAAAAACAAAAAACAAAAAAACAAAACAAAAAACCCCCCCAAAACAGGTACATGTATGTGTATAAAATAATGGAAGACAATTCAGTGGGTGCAAAAAGCATAAGTACAAATCTATACGGTTGAAATCTACGGTGTGTATATTATATCAAGCAGCTCAACTTAAATACCTACGCTGGATTTCACTGTGAAACACACTTGGGAACTCATGCTTGAAAATAAGAGCAAACACAAAAATAGCTGGAGAAATAAATTAATTAAGGTTGTCCTGGTCTGTGTACTGTGGTGGGGGGGGGGGGGGGGGGAGTGTGTTGTGAACATATAATGAATGCCAGTCCTTTCCTAGGCGTTCTAGTTGGTGGGGGGGGGGGGGTGTTGTGAACACATAATGCCAGTCCTTTCCTAGGCGTTCTAGTCGGCCCTGCTATGCCACCAAACTCCGGTAACTTATAAAGATTGAAAGTCCTTGAAAACTGAACATTTACATATTTTGTTCCTTTATTCAATGTTTTTCAGTAAAATTCAGACTGGAATGTGTTTTTTTATACAGACATAAAAGGTGTTGAGCAAAAAAACAAAAATTTGAAAAAAATTGCCAAACTGTGGAAAATTGCTTATTTCTTCGATTTCATTATTTTGACGAGCGCCTGTTTTCTCCACCATGCCTCACATATATATATATAGCCAAAAAACCGAGGGGGAAAAGTGGGTGGTGGTCATTTGCCCTGGTGATTGTCTTGGACAGGTGGCTGTTAGAGCAGACTACATTAACCCTATCAGTTAGGCCGGGCCAATCTGGGCAGTGTGGGATAAAGAAACAGATAGATATAGGGCAGAAAACTAGGAAATTTAAGTACATAAACATAGTGGTAAAAATAAACAGCACACAGTTTACGGCTCACAAAAACTATTAATTATTCAGACTGAGGTTGAGAAAAGCAGAGTCTCTCTCTCTCTCTCTCTCTCTCTATCAATCTATCAATCTATCTATCTATCTATCTATCTATCTATCTATCTATCTATCTATCTATCTATCTATCTACCCCCAAAGAAAAACATTCTTCCACCCTAGTGACCAAAATTCAAATTATCAAAGACTCTGTCTGTCATGGTATGATGATCAGTTCATGAAGCTTCAGATATACAGTATGGCAACGTGAGACGTCACAAAACTACTTTAACTACACATAATAAATGACAGGCTGGTTTTGCAGTATTTCACACAAAGGGGAGTCCTAGTACAAAAATAGCTACTAACATTGCACATCATCTAAAGAAGAACGTCTGATTGCAGTACCCTGCATGTCCTGTCATGAAACTCAGCATCATACTACTACAGTTGAAATTGTCCAAGACAACCACCCGTTCGCAACCTCAGTGCCTTCTTGTCGTATCTCCAATTTTTTAAACAGTGATCTTCTTAAGCTCACTCTTTGTTATGAACAGTTTTCACTGTTATTAAATATGGAGATATGACAAGAAAGCACTGGGATCACGCATTGTTGAGGAGAAAAGTGGTTGTCTTATACGGGTGGATGTCTTGGACAGTGTTTACACTATGTGTCACGACGCGGTGGAATCAGGCGCTCGTCAATTTTTGGACAAGTGGAGTTATTGGTATCATTTTAAAGCATGTTCATTTGTCTTGCTTTTTGTGAAAAAGAATACTCATCTATCATTCATGAATAGAAGTCGTGATATTTGCGATTGAAGGGGGTGGGGGTTTCCTGGTTTCAGAGATAAAATTAGCGAGAAAATGGCCCCCAAAGTTTGGCAACTTCCGATGCTTGAGAGTCCTTAGAAACTGTAACATTTTCGTGTTATAAATCACCATTTTCGGTGAAATTCACACAGAAATGTGTTTTTCTGTCCCCGAGGTTTTATGCACCCCGCATAATTTAGCCAAATTTGATCAAATTTTGCATAACTTTTGATTATTTTCCTTTATACTTTATCATTCTTTGTTAAAAAAAAAACAGAATCGCATAATTTCACGTTTTTGGGCTCAGTTTGCATAATTTCAGAATTTTTCTAGCATAAAACGACTTCGCGAAAAATTACGCCTGATTTCACCACGGTGCCTCACATATTATAAAGAGAAAAAAAGCAAGGAGGAAGTAATGGGAAGTGGTCGTTTGTACAGGTGATTGTTTTGGACAGGTGGCAGTTAAAGCAGGTTCAACTGTAATTTGTTCTCTTAAAACCTTTGATTTTGACATTCAAGTGAAAAAGAGCAGGATCCCCGCTTGTAAAATATATGTGAGTGATAAGAACATAAAGTGACCAAAAATATACAAGTATACTTGGCATCCACGAAGTACAAAAATAGAAAAGAAAAGACAAATCAGTTGTAACGATCCTTGCAGAAATGAACGTAAAGTTGGCCATCTAAAGCACACACTACACTACTAACACATAGTGAGAAACAGATTACAATCAGTTCTATTAATATATTAACCCATTTGTGACATTTCTGGAGCGAAACAGAAGAAATATATGGATTAAGTTAAAGAGGACTTGTGGCTTCTGCTATAGCTAATGAAACCAATTTTGGCAGAGAAAATTTTGCCACATTTGGAGCATTTAAGAACTTCACATTCACTCTTGGATGAGCGCAGCTTGTGGGCTTCTCTCTTGGCTTCATCGTTTCTTAATCGCAAAGCCTCATTAAGAAGTAAATAATCTACTAAACATATTTTCCAATCAATGACAAAATGATAAACAAAGTAAAAAAAAAAAAAAAAGACAAATTTAAAATAAAGCTGATGAAATCACAGCCAGACTGACATAAAAGTAACACATTTCATCAAAACAGAAAGAACACTAGTTGATAGTTTCAGAACTGAGTTTGAACGAAACAAAATTATTCAGCTGAGAGGATTTCAACTTTTTTTTCCCCACTCTGAAAAAAAGCAACAGCAACAGTTTGTTGCCGTGAGCATACTATGTTATTGTCGATGTAATTTGGCTTACCTGCCCATTTACCGTTTAATAAACAAAGGGTTGATCAAAAATTGATTTTACAGCTTGCTCATAAATTGAGAAATGCCAGGTAAATATATACCATATAGATTTAAGTATAATAAGTGATTGTAATGTTATTGTTTGTGTGATCTGACCATTCTTCTAAACCAAGAACCGAGACATGACTCTTTACCAGAGGTAGTTGTCTTTCGTTTCAAAGAGATAACTCATTCTAACACATTCTCACCTTTCAGCTAAAACTAAAGATAAATTACCGGTATCTGAAAATGTTGGTTGAAAAGAAAAAAATAGCAAGGCACTTTAAAAAAATGGTACATGTACTCATGATGTGGCAAGGTATTTGTATTTTTCTCAAGGCATACCCTGACTATGGAAAAAAAAAATTCACGAGAAACAAAAGGAGAATGAAAAGAGGTGCTTGATCAGGCATAGAAAAGTTCATTATATTTGAAGTCATAACTATTGCATCTATTCTTCTTCATGCCCACTCCTCTTGTAGACATCAAAGGCTGTCAACTTAAGGCTCTTCATTGAACACAGCACTTCACTTCTTCTCGATCTCATCACACTTGAAGTCCGATATCTGTCATAAATTGGGCTGTCTTGCTCAGTTCATCTGTCGGCCCGTATAGCTTCTCGGTACTTAACTTATTTCTCCATAATCTGTGGTCAGTTTTCCTAAAGGAGAGCATAGGTTTCCACTTTTCTGTACCAAATATTGTGACAAGACTGGACCAAATTCTAAGAAGCCATAAAAAAATTCCCTGTCAAAAACTGCCCCTGTGGTTTTATGCACCCCACATAATTTAGCAAAATTTGATCATTTTTTGCATAATTTCAGATTATTTCCCTTTATCGTTCTTTGTTAAAATTAACAGAATCGTATCATTTCACATTTTTGGGCTCAGTTTGCATAATTTCAGAATTTTTTTTGGCATAAAACTGTGGGGACAGAAAATACTAAAATGAGGCTCTTGCAATAATTATCATTATTAGAAGTGAGACCTCCCATTAAGGCAATCACTATCACCTTAACTTAACAATAACTCCAAGCTGATTCCCCTTCATGCTTCAAGTGAATATTTGCATATATATATAATACAAAAATAATTTATGGCTCATAATGATATGCATGACGGTAAAAAACTTGACAAGACAAAACAGATGTTTTTGACAATGACAATGACGATCTTTATTCATCTTGCAGGGAGAAATTTGTCTCGGTCGTTTCTATCCGCGGCTGAACAAAAAAGCACATTCAGCCAGAACATGAAACATCAACAGTACAGGGTTCGAACCCTGCTCCTAGCACATGGAGAGCAGGTAGCCTATTAGGACGCAGACTGCTCCTCCAGCAGTCCCGTGTGTGAGGGAATGACGTACTGCTTGTCGCCCGAGTGGCACACCTTCTCTTGGTTGTACGGGCAAACCTTCAGGTGGTCTGTGATAGTCGTGTGGCCCTCCGTGAACCGCCACGATTTGATCGGCTCAAAACTTGTGCTGAATATCCAGCGCTGTGTGAAGATACAGGCAAATGGAACAACCGTGAGTTTTGTTTTGTTACAAAATGCAACTGAATTCAACTAAATTCAAATGTGACCATCTAGAGGCAACAACTAAAGCGCTGTTACTTTACTCAAAACCATAAGAAATATTCTGTTAGCTTCAAATTACCCACACTAAAAAAAGCCTACTCTGAAAAAAATTCACAGCAAGATGATGATCTGTGGCAATTTGTATAGATCTCAAGAAGTCTCTTAACAGGGTGGCACTTTGTACCTTGACACATCAAGATGTTTACAGTAACCATATTTCCACGGCCTTAAGTTCGGGATATCATTTGAGTTGAAGGGAAGCACATGGACTCAACCACACTCTACTGGCATCTGTGATGTAACAGTTGGCTTTCTGCTGCTACCTATATAAAAGAGGTCAGTCTGATTTATACTTGGAGAAAGTTATTTCATCAAAAGTACCTCTGTCATTCTGCGGGGAGTCTGTGTCCCGCTTAGCTCTGGTTGGCACAGACATCCACTCGACTATACACTTCTACAATCTGTCCCCGTCGTTTTATGCAAGAAAAATTCTGAACTTATGCAAACTGAGCCTAAATATTATATGAAATTATGTGATTCTGTTAATTTTAACAAAGAATGATAAAGGAAAATAATCAGAAATTATGCAAAATATGATCAAATTTGGCTAAATTATGCGGGGTGCATAAAACCACGGGGACAGATTATAAAAGGAAATTTTTTAAAAAAGACACCTCACCCCCCTCCTCCCCTCTCACCTTATTGACCACCTTCCACAGAGCGCCAGTTCCCGGTCGCTGCTTCCCCCAGGTCAACAGCACGATGCCGTGCTCGTCCAACAGTGTGCAGCACACCTCGCGCAGCAAGTGGCACGTCAACGACAGGTTACACAGGCTGAAGCTGTCCAGTTTTTTGGCTGGAGCACCAAAAAAGTTAATAGTAATAATTTTAAAAAAAATAATAATGAAAATAATTTTAATAATAATAATGATAATAATAATGATAATAAAAATTCTATTACTAACACTGCTACTACTACTACAAATAAAAATGATGATACTACTACTACTATTGCTGCTGCTGCTGCTGCTGCTGCTGCTACTACTATTGTTTTTACTCCTACTACTATTACTACTACTACTACTACTAAAAATAATAAATGGCATTTGTATAGCCAATATCTCGGTTCAACAGCAAGCTCTATACACTTTACTATATCTTATAAATATAACCTCTGCAGTCCCAAGAGCCTCAAAAATATTCTCGGCTTCCTGGAAAGCATACAGTGTAAGCACTCAAACACAAACATGTATACAAACAAGATCTTTCATTGCCTATAGCTGGGTACCCATTGCCACAAAGATTCGGCATCAACACAGAAATACACTCATTACATCCATGCACAGTTATACACATATATACACATACACAATCATGCACAACTCATTCACACTGTAAGCGTATCCATGGAAACAATATCAACTACCTGTCCATGTCGTTTTAAGCAAGAAAAATTATGAAATTATGCAAACTGAGCCCAAAAACATGAAATTATGCAATTCTATTAAATTTAACAAAGAAAGATAAAGGAAAATAATTAGGAATTTTTATGCAAAAAATTATCAAATTTTGCTAAATTACGCGGGGTGCATAAAACCACGGGGACAGAATTACACCTACCTATAACCTGCAACAGTTCAAAGGGCAGTCCCGTCAGCGAGTGACGCTGCGTCTCCTCCTCTTCCTCCACGTCGTACTCAAACAAAACCTTCGAGTCCCAGTTGTAGGCCGTGTAGATGGAGGGCCGAACGCTCAGACATCGCTGGTCAGCCGAGTGACCGGCCTCCGTGTTATCTCCCGACGCCTGGGAGTCGACGCCAGTCCCAGCGTGTCCTGGATTATCTACGTGGCTATCGCTGAGGTGGGTTTCTCTAATCAAACCGTCAGGCAATGAGTTTATATCACAGACGTTTGGTTTATGTAGTTTTTGCTCTTTGTTTTGTGAATCTTTCTCTAGATTTCTGTCGAAATCCCTATCAAAATTGGCCAAGTCACATATACTGGGTCCACTCGTAGACGGTACATCAGAATTCTTCACCCCTTCATCGTTCTTCTCTTCAGCACTCGATGACGCCTCACACGGATCACAACTCGACGACCTCTCGGCGCTTGACCTGCTATTTTTACACGCTGGTAAAACACCGCCGTCAGCAGCAGCAGTGGCAGGAACTGGCTGGGCGTTGCTACGGAGACCAAAGCTTTCCTGCAGCCAGGAGTGGTAGAGAGTTGTGTTTGGCTGGGCCGGAGCCATGCGGTGGAAGGAGAAGTTACAGCCCAGGTAGGCCAGTGGACATCTTTGTTCCAGCCAGCCGCAGAAACCCTGGTGGATCTCCTGATGGACGTTCTGGGGATAGAAAGAAAAACTTTGCTTGTATTTTTGGGGTTTTTTTTCACACTTAGCTGTCGCAGGCAGAAGATCCTAGTTTGTTTCCCGCATCGGGAAAATTTTTGTCGAGTTTCTTGGTCTTTCCTGCAGGGATGTTGTTGTATCCTTCTCTGTCAGCCCTTTTTGACCCAACAGGCAGGGTCAGAGTCGAAACCCTCCTCGCTCAACTGGGTCTATAACAACAAGATAACAACACTAATCTTCCTCATAGCATTTCCTTTTCTCATCTAGCTTTATCTCTCTGGAACTCTCTCTCACAACATTTGAAGAATAAAAAGTCGAAGGCAAAATAAAAAATTCCTATTAGAACATACTTCATATAATGCCATCTTGATAGCGAGTCCTTTTTATCATACCCTTACTCTCGAGGAAACACACACAAAAAAACAAAGAAAAAGCAACTGACCTTGAAATGCCACGGGTACTCATCCCTGCGGAAGTCCTGAGCACAGATGAAGCTGTACATGCTGGCCGGCTTGGGGACGTATTTGTTGATACACTCATGGCCGATGTTTACCCCGAGCATCTTGTGTAGCCGGATGTCTGCGTCCACCCCATCCCCCTCCGCCCCCACGCCACCGCCGCCATCCCCGCTGTTCCCCACCATACCCTGACCTGTCAGCTTGTGCAGCTGCGTGCCTCCCATATCGTGGAGCACCGACCTTGACCTTGAGCTGTGGTCGCTGCAGCGGTCGGAGGAAACACTGCTGCGCACCGAGCGCTCGAGCGACGAACGAGACTGTTGTTGGTCTTTGGGGTCAAAATTGCCCGAAGAAGCTTTATTAACCAACTCCATTTTTTTCTCGGCTGCTTCCCTGACTTCAGCGAGGCTCGGGGGTCCCGTTGACGTCCCTGTCGTAGTTCTCGTTGCTTCATCACCGCTGTGTCCACCTCTGGCTGGATCAGGCGACAGAGACCTGGACAATGACTCAGCGTGATGACCACATCTCTCTTCTCCGTCGCCACCACCATCTTCTTGGGCAGCTGACTCTAACCCAGTCTGAGACAACGAGAGGTTTGAGTTCGACTCGAGTGCGGCCACGACGCTATCGGAGACCTCACGCGTCACTCGGAACAGCCGGCTCCTCATACTTTCTTCCAAACCAGGTCGCGGCTTGGACAGATCCCAGGGAGCCCCCGTCTCATCGTCGGAGAGGGTGTGGGTCGTGTCTTCCGACATGGCTGTCTCGGATTCTGGTGAGGACGCGTGGTGGGGGAAGGGCACGGCGGGGTACTTCATGGTCAGGTGGTTGCGGAGCGTGCGTCGCAGCTTGCGTGGGGCCCTCAGTGAGTCGATGAGCATCCGTTGGTCTCTCATGGCCAGACTGACGTCCAGCTGTCCACAGTCAATGTACGTCTTTGTGGACGGGAGAGACAGACGAACGCCCTGATCCTTGGCGTGCATGGGCCATCTGGGGAGAAAGAAAGACACTTCTTTCTAATCCTCAGCATAAAAACCCACTGAACTGGTGTAGAAATGTAATTGACTCAGTACCATAATAGACGTAGGTAATAAAAATAATAAATACCATATATACAGCCCTCTATCCCGTTAAACAAGCTCTGTGCATTGTACAATGATTTAGAGTAGAAAATACACAGAAACACATTTTAAAAAAACATTCGCTGAAATGAAAAAGAATGGCAGTATTCATTATTTAAAAATGAACACTCAGTAAAAGTAACACTGACAAGAAATAAAAAGAGCTGACTACACCACAGTGCCCTACAGCCACCTGCAGTTTTCATTTAAAGTAATGGGAAAGATGTACAGTGGTCAATGGATCCTTTACTCCTCTGACATCTTTTTCAACCATGCTGTTAAATGACCCCATATTTCTAATTGAGGAAAAACCCATTAAAACAATCAAAAGGTATGCCTACCTAGTGCAGATACCAATGGCAGACAGAAAATAAAGTGAAAGCTTTCAGTCATTTGATTAGGTAAACACAGTGTAGCACGAACAAGTTTTTGTTACCTGCTCCACTCCTCGGGGCAGTATACAACACTGGCAGGGCAAACTGGCAAGTGTGACGCCATCTTCGACCTTTTCAGCGTGTGGGGGCAGCCGTATCCCTTGTTGACACATGGCACTCGCTCTTGCGGGCAGGTCATGGCGTGCTCCAACAACTTACAATCATGACAGCGCCAGCCGCATGACTCGCACGTCGCCATAACACACGTCGTTACGTTATCGGCAAACTGCGTGCAGTTAACTTTTCGGCAGCGGAAACAGTGGCTGTGTTGACCAGGAGGGGTCTCTTCTTCCTGTACCATCCTGAGATGATCAAAACGACAAAATTACGACCTGAAGTCATTGTTTGTTTATTTGAGAAAACCAGAGGACATATATACCATACCCACAGCAACAGCTATCAAATGTTGGGAAATAGGAAGACAGGCATACAGAAAGCAATTTATAATAATAAGAATTAGTAAAAAACAGAAATAAGGATGACCAAAGGTGCTCCACACCCATCCAAAAAGTGAAATAAAATAAAAATGTAACCATGGACACTTGAAACAATGACCAAAAAGAGATTTTATTACATGTATCATGGCATAACCTGAGAAAGATCACTTGGGATTTTATTTTAATTGAGAAAACTTTTGACTTCAGAACCAGGGTTAAAAAATATATCACACTATCACACAAACCTTAAAATAATTTTGCAACATCTGCTTGTAATATAAGGTGTATTAAGTGGTCTTCATTATACTATGAAATACTTTTTCTTTAAAGTATACAATGTGATTCAGGCAGAGACACTCTGAACTTAGTTTTATACAGACTAAAAGATGTAAGAAACTCTACTTCAGAAAATAAGCATAAAAATTACTTTACTTAGGAGTAAACTAGACTCCAGGCCTTACTTTTTTCTTTGAGTAAAGCCTGAGACAATCATTATGGCTCACTCTCCTAGCTTTGCGTCCTCCAAAAGACTCCCTAAAGTATGATAAACGGGACAGTCTGAATCTGAAAATGTAAAAAAAACAAATGAAGACAATCTTCTGAATGAGAAAGAGCAAACATTATTCACATAAAGGGGAGGGATATGGGGGAGGGAAATTGAGTTTGATAAAAGCTCCTCTCATGTCCTCAAACCCTACCCCTCAATTCCTGTATTGGGTGGGTCATGGATAGCTTTCCCCCACATTGTAACAACTGCAATATTGACATTGACATTGACGATTTAGTTGTTTGAGGCTCTAAGTAGAGCCTGTTCAACTATCTGGTAATGAATGACTAACTATAATGCATGGCGTGCATGCAATATATTATAATACAGTATAACAACACGGACAGGTCAAACACAGAAGACTGGAAATCACGCTTCCGTCAAACTGTGCCTGCTGTCCCGGTTTTTTTTCTTCCTCTCCTTCTTTATCTTTGTAAGATATCCCTCTAACTACGGATCCCTGGAGCCACCGAGGCCAGTTCCGCCGAATTCGAGCTGTCCGTGCTTTATTGTATGAAAAATGTTATAATTTGAATTCAAGAACCTTGTACCCCTTTCCTTGTTTTTTTGGTTATGTTTTAAATGGCTCTCCAAACTGCATATATATAATATAAGGTCATATGAGCGTGCGGAACACATTATCAACATTTTTCAGTTTGGTAGGAATTAAATTTGAATTTTTCACAGGAAACAACGAACCCCACTCTTAACGATTTTAGGACGACTGAGGGATCTTTAACGTACGCAACTAGCACACGGGACCTCCGCGATATTTTTCACCCTTATCTGAAAAGGCGAGGTGATAATACCCACCTTAAGATAAGGGGTGTGGCTGAAAGACAGACAGCAGCAAGAAGGGGCCAAGGAGTAGTAGTGGAAGAAAGGCTGCAGAAAGAGTTGCAGCCCAGAGGAGGGGCAAAAGGGAGGGAAGAAAGTGGAGAAAAAAGAAAACGACTGAACATGATTAGAGAGCAGGAAAATAGAGTCTAGTTGAAAGGAGAAAATTTTAGACAGTAAATAAGAAGAAAATTTTCTGTTCCGGGACAGATTGAACCAGAGGCGAACACCGTCTCTAGACCATGAGATATTGTTTTCTTGAACTGTACAGAGGTGTACTTGGTCAGTTGTTCCCTGGGAAACGTTTCTTTGAATAACACTTTTTGCTGTGTCATTTTTTCTTTCACATTTCACACTGTCCAGTTGTCCCTGGGTAAAACATTGTTACAGTTAGATTTCTAGTTCTGCCACACCCCACAATATTCACCATAACTGATGTCAATGGAAAATAATGCATCATAAAACAAAACAGGATACTCAACTCGATAACGAACTTCGTGGCTTTGTTTGAACAACACAGAGATAGACCATCTTTTGAAAGCCAATTCGTGAGTAAGCAAGGCGAGGGGCAAGGGCGTTGACCATGTTTCTATTCTTGATTGTAATTATTATGGGCCTAGGTGTGATCTAAAGATAAGAAACCAGTAGGAAAAGCGTACACATAGCATTCTTTCAATGCCAAATCATATTAACGTTAAAAATACTTGCCTGTGTTAAACTTTCATCAGGCTAGGAAGTGAACTGATATTGGTCCCGGTTCTGCTAGATTCTAGACTTCAGCTGTTCACTTCGCTACAGGCGGAAGCAGAGTTGACAAACTTTCCAAATAGAGAACTCTTCATTGTTTGGAAAACACATTCATCCACCTTTCATTGTAAGTATCGAGTACTCTATTCATAGGCCTAGAGTACGAATAAACTCATTGTTTTGTTTACAGTTTGTGGGGCGTGTGAAGTCTGACATGTGCGATGGCCGTACAAGTTCCTTCTTGAGCAACACAAATCTTTTCTTTAGTTAGTGGGCGATTATTTCTACCGAGGAGATCTTGTGATTGTGACAATTCTAAGTAATTTGACCCGTCTCTCTGTCTCTAACTGGAACGATCTGGACGAGCGTCTTCCTGAAATCGGCATCTGTGTATTGTGTTTGTTGTTCATTCAATCAGGTCAGGTCGCAGCGAGTTTGTTTGTTGTGTTATTATTGTTCGAGGTGTAGATCTAGACTGAGAATCCAGGCGTATTTGTGCACAGACTGCGGACTAGACAAGATCTAAACCTACTAAAATATTTGATAACTTCAAAATTGACGAGGCCTGCTCGAAACACGCACAGTCCAGGAGGCATGGTGAGTTCCTATTTCCTGAATCAAATTAATAATCGTATTGTTTGAGTGAGTTACCATGGCAACTGCTGACTGCTTTTTGACGAGAATCATCATGCTGTTAATGCAGCCTGCTTTCTTTGACTTTTTTTTTTTTCCTTTTTCAATGAGGACATAATGTGGGCCGAAATTACCAGTTATGGGCACTAAACAATGTCAATCAATAGACCTAGATCTAGATATCTAGATCTAAATCTAGATCTAGATTCTAGATATAATCTATGTCTGTCTGCTACTCTAGATTATCAAGTAGAATCTAGTAGATCTTGATATCTAGATCTAGGCCTACTAGATCTAGATCTAGCTCCATTGTGTCTAAAGTGGGAAACTTACATTTCAGTGCCTGCTACTATAATTTTACAGAGCTAGATCTAGATCTACATATTTTTTCAGTTATTAATCTTATTTCAGTCACTTTTTCTTTTGAGCTTCAGATAGAGTCGAAAGTGAAAGAAGGGCATACTTGCCCAGTTTTTATACCTAATTAATTTATTCCTCTGCTCTGCTCATGACTTAAAGTACTTGTTTAGATTAGATCTAGATCTAGATCTAGTTGTTTTTGTGTGTGCGATACAATAAAATATAAGACAGATCGAAGACAAAATTCTTGTTATTGCTGAAACTTTTCTTATAACATCTAAGCTTGACAAATAATAGAAATGAATGCATTCATTAAACAACAGAAATTATTAGAGTAAATTGGACAACACAATGTCATAATGTACAATATTATCTCTTTGTTTAGCCATGTCTCTACTATTTAATATTCTCTTTCTTTTGCTTTCTCTCCCCCCCTCTCTTTCTCTCTCCCCCACCCCCTTCTCTCTCTTTTTCTCTCTCTCCCCCCCCCTCTCTCTCTCTCTCTCTCTCTCTCTCTCTCTCTCTCTCTCTCTCTCTCTCTCTCTCTCTCTCTCTCTCTCTCTCTCTCTCTCTCTCTCTCTCTCTCTCTCTCTCTCCCTCTCTCTCTTTCTCTCTCTCTCCCCCCCCCCTTCTCTCTCTCTCTCTCTCTCTCTCTCTCTCTCTCTCTCTCTCTCTCTCTCTCTCTCTCTCTCTTTCTTTTTTTCTCTCTTTTTCTCTTTCTTTCTCTCTCTCTTTTTCTTTCTTTCTCTCCCTATCTGTATCATTCTCTTTCTATCGTTCTCTCTCTCTCTCTAGCTCTCTTTCTCTCTAACTCTCACCCCCCTCTCTCTCTTTCATTGACCCACAAGCACACATCTGCATACACACAGAGGAACAAAAGACAGAACATGACAAAATATTTTTTCCACCTACATGAGTTTCTTTCCTAATGGTTCACTCTGTCGTAGTACCGTAACAGGGAACCACAAAAATGAGCATCTCTGCTTTTCTCTCAGCTTGTTTTAAAAATTATTAGTGTTGTTCTTCCTGGGGGTGCTGAATTCACTAATGTACCGTACAAATAATATGAGGGTGTGGTGGCAGAGCCGTTAGTGCGCTCGTCTTTGGTTTGGACACGGATTGTTTTCGCCCCCTCCTGCCCACCCAGCAGTAATGGGTACCTGACTTCGAGTTGGGGAAGTAAAGGCAACGTGGAAAGGAACTGGCCACCCTACCACACTATATTATGCTGAAGGCCCAGGAAGTTGTCTCACTAACAAGGCAATCCCCAATGTCCGGATCGGATGCGGGAACAACTTAACTTCACTTTAACAAAGTATAGTTTGTCCATCATAAACTAATTGATGACCTTTAGCTTCCAAGTAAGAAGAGACCAAGTTATAGATAGACCTTACGAGTTACTGCATGGTATAACATGGTAAAGAGAGCAAAGTTAGGGAAATAGCAACAAGCATGTTTGTGTAATTATCACAAATGACATCATACAGACTTCAACTTCAACATAAGTTAAGGATCACCTTAAGTTAAGGACCACCTTGACAGACAGCCCTGATTTAAAAAAAAAAAAAAAAGACAGCAAGGAATGTTTCAAAATAAATTGCTCTGAAAGTGTTAATGGGTTAACACTGCGTACTGCAAAGCTTCCTTAAGGGGCAAAACCACAACGTGCAGCAAGGAAATCCCTGGGGAATTTTTGTCAAATTTGCAAGTGGTCCTAAGTCCTTTTAACTTATGTTGAAGTCTGTAGCTTGTCACAGATAGTATCATTTAAAAAAAATATTTTCGGGGGGGGGGGGAGGGGTTGGCTCATTACCTTTTCTGTCCATTTAAAAACTAAATTTCTAAGTAGATGTTACAGAAAGATATTGAATTGTGTAAATTTAGTTTCCTAGGACACTCAAGCTTTGGAAGTAACCAAACTTTGGCTGCCATTTTCTTGCTAATCTTACTTCTAACACCAGGCAACACCCACCTCTTTCAATCACAAATATATCTACGTCTATTCAAGATAAGAGAATTTGTTTTTTGGTCAAAAGCATCGCAAATTAATAAGCTTTGATATGATACCAATAACTTCGTATTATGCTCAAAGATTGAGAAACGCCTGATTCCACCGTATGGTGACACACTTTACTATTTTTTCTTCAAATGATGATTCTGCCATGTCGTGACTCACTTTACTATCTTTTCTCCGGAACCGTCTTCCTGTGACAGTCATAGACAGCGATGATTCTGTCATGTTGTGACACACTTTGCTATCTTTTTTCTAGAACCGTCTGCCTGTGACAGCTATAGACAGTGATGATTCAGCCTCAGACTGGGACTCCACTGTGGCTGAGGCCCCTCCACAGTCCCCTCAAGCCAGTGCTCCTGTTGTGGAGACAGAGGGGGAGTATGCAACAGTCACCCCCCGACCCAGGACCAGTCTCCAAGGTAGGCTAGTCCTTATAATAATTATTGTTGAAAGGTATAGTCTTTCTTGTTGTAGGCTAGTCTTTATTGTTTTTGTTGTCAAATAGGCCTACAGTCCAGTCTGCTCTAACTAACAACCATCTGTCCAAGACAATCTCATTTACACATTTACGATGACCGCTTTCCATTCCCCCCCCTCCCC